ACTTTCAGCTGATGAAGGAAATACGTATGAAATATTATGCGCAGAATTCATAATAGATCTTACACTTTACTTCACAATGTAAGAGCTGATCTGTTTGTTCAAACTTGTTTAGTGTTTAAAATTGCAGAAGTTGGAAATAATACGTTTTTTACCTCTTGCGGAGGGCGCATACAGGCTTTAAATGAATCGAAATTCGACCACGGCGTGCGCAGTTCGATGAACGTGAAATACTGGTACCTTTCATAATTTCAGTCTCTTTGGGATGTTGAACTGTATAAAGCACGTGTAATGCTGATTTAGCCTTTCCAAATGTGATATGTTGCGAAACGTCATCATTATTTGTACCATCGGATGTACGACGATATGACTGACTACGCGGACAGTGTTTGATGTCTACCACTATACCAAGCACATGCAGTAAAACATTTCTTGTCATGAATCCTCTTCTTTGAAAATACTAGACGTCTCTAAGAAAGGAACACGTTTTGCACAGTTTCCATGGAAGCGGATGGTGTCTAAAAATTGCATGCTGTGCTTGTTTGTTACGAGGTGCGTTCATAGACACGCAGAGACTGAATGCAAAGGAGAATCGTGTCCTTAAATGCTTACTCACAGACAATCGTTACGCACAATGTAGGCGCCTTTCAAAGTTGCCCTTGCCCTAAAAGAGCGAAATTCCTGTAAACGAAGTGCGAAGTCTGTTGCACACAAAAGCGTGGCTCAAAATGAATCGAGGTCCGCCGTGCGCAGCGTTTAATGTTTATTTCGCACTTCCATTGGGTTGCGCGAAGAAGTCGTGCACCACGTGGAGCGCAGGCCGTTAGCCCAGAGCCGTGCGCGCAGTGTTTGGTTTGCCTACCAACGACTATACTCACGTCCAGAACACCGGTGGTAGACCGCGGAATAACTGCGCACGTTTGCATGGACGTGACAGAGGGCATAGAGTTTCCCAAAATTAACTAGAGGACACTCTGGCGCTGCGATCGTTCAGCGACCATGGGAATGATGGGTAGTACACACATTTGCCTATAGTCTTCGTACTCGCGGGCGGCGAATCGTACTTGTGGCTTCGTTTACTGCTGGTTGCGGTTTTGTGTTGAAAGAAAGAACAAACCCTTTTAAACTTAGTGACTTGATTCGAAATAGTAAGCCTAAAAAAATAAGGTTGTGAAGCGCAAACGGTGAACATTCGCTAATTTATGTTTTGGTTAAAAAAAAACAGCTCCAAGCCACACGAAGACACACGGAGCCAGAAGCAGGCCAGAAGTACGAAAATTAGACAAATGTGTGTACTACCCATCATTCCCATGCTCGCTGAAGCGCCGTGTGCTGCAGCTCCCATAGACACTAGCGCCAGAGTTCCCTCTAGTGTATATGCCCCGCCACGGTGGTCTAGTGGATAAGGTACTCGGCTGCTGACCCGCAGGTCGCGGGATCAAATCCCGGCTGTGGCGGCTGAATTTCCGATGGAGGCGGAAATGTTGTAGGCCCGTGTGCTCAGATTTGGGTGCACGTTAAAGAACCCCAGGTGGTCGAAATTTCCGGAGCCCTCCACTACGGCGTCTCTCATAATCATATGGTGGTTTTGGGACGTTAAACCCCACATATCTATCAAATCCCTCTAGTGTATATTAAGAAACTCTATGACAGAGGGTAGAATACTCTATGTTAAATTGTAGTCGCCCTAACAAACGTTTCTTCTTGGTACAATTCGTTGACATTTGGCGTGCTCAGCTGTCATGTCAGTGTCCATTTATATCCCTTCGGGCCGAGCCCAAACGTCTACACATAGAACGATATCATATGTCACACCGAGATCACATCACATGAACCGTTTCAAGAACTGCCATATACTGCGTCCGCCTCGGTTGAATGGGAGCTACGGTGCTCAGCGCCTGACACAAAGGTCGTGGGTTCGATTCCGGCCATGGTGATCGCATTCTGATGCATGCGAAATGGTGTACAGGCCTGTGTACTGCGCCATGTCATTGCACGTTACAGGACATCAGATGGTCACAATTTCCGGAGCCATCCATTATGGCGTCTCTTATAATGACATCGTGGTTTCGGCACGCGAAACCCGAGATTTAAGAACCGTACTGCCTTTCCCTTAGTGTCAATCGTAATACGCTGTTCGTTAAATACTCACTACACTGTTACTATGTTAACACGAAGTACAAACGCCACTCCTCCTGCACATCTCTCAGCCCACTTTTTCTATTACAGGGTAGCTGATCGGGCTTAGGCTTAGTAACCTCACTGTCTTTCCATTATGTCTCTGTGGTTTTTTTTTCTCGTAGCATGAGACGCTGCACGCGACGCGTGTGGTGACACTGCACCGAATATTTCGTCTCGCAATGAGAGCACCAGTGTCGCAATGTGTCGTTTGAAGGGTACAACATCTACCGCAGCGAGAGAGATAGGAGTCCACGCTTCCGCACAATTACCGGCAGCGAAATTCAGTGAAGGCGCGAGTTCACATCTGGGACCCAGAGTTGATCAATCGTACCACTTGCGCAATCATTGGGGGACCCCGTAGTTTCCAAATGCGGAAAGGGTGATTGATTAGCGAGAGGCGCAGCGTTCGCTGTGCGTTATTTTATGCACGGATAAAAATTAATTTTAAAGCTTCTTTTTTTTTGTGGCCCGTAATTCAATGTTCTATCACACACTCCAAAGAAAAACTAAACACTGTTTTCAATAAGAAGGAGGGTGGACAACAAATTAGAAATGCAGGGAGATTGGCCAGTAGTCAGACCGACTGGCTACTATGTGCTGGGAATAGATGTAAAGGGAATAAAATGCAATATAAAGGTTATGTTACAAAAACAAAGAGGAAAGAAAGAAAATAGAATACGACACTGCTTAGCGACACTGCTCAGAGTTTGTTTCGAAGAAGAGTCGTCCGCAAGCAGGTTATTTGAGCTGGTCAAAGATCGCAATGGCATTCATAACGTCATGCCATTGTAGTGTCTTAAGCAATTAGTTATCAACCGCAAGGAGCACAATACCAGCGGGACGGCTGTAAACTCTCCCATAGTAGAGTACCTAAAGAACTCTGAATCGTTAACCACTTTCTCTAAACACAACAGCAGCACGGGAAATACACGAATAAGAAGCCGTGATTTAGTCACTTCGTTTGTTGCTATAATTTACGTGCATGTTTCAGCCGCGTCACAGCGATATCATAAGGGTAAGTAGATTTGACCGATTACAGCAGCTTAGAATGAATGACGTTCCGCTGCTGCATTCGATGTTGCTAGCTTCGTTCCAGTCGTGGTGGACGCATACTGGTGGAAAATGCCAAAACTCCAATCAGTATACGAACATTAAATCAGTATAGCCAGTAGAGTTTTAGGAACAGATGGGGTATAGGGGTGGACACTTACGGGAGGCCATGACTGCTTTAGAAAAGCATCTATTTTTATCAGTTATGTTTGGAGAAAGAGTCGCCTACTTTAATATTTCGGGGAGAGGCTGATCGGGCCCCGAAAGCACATGCCCTCCCACCCCCTCCCGTGACCACGCGTCCGCATTAATTTAATTAGGGCTCACATATTGTAAGTCCTGTTGCTACAATTCACAGCGATGGTACTGACGAAAACTTACCTCGTATCGTACTGTAGTACTTGTACGCAAAGCGAAACAGTGCCTGTTATGGATGGGGATGTACCGGAACCGCTATTGACACTGGCCTTTAGTAGAACTACGGGCCATACTACCGTCCTGCAGCGGTCGTGGTAGTTAGAGGCTAATTCGTTTGCCCTTATGATTTCAACGAAAGTGGTTCGTCTCGAAATCACGTTTCGGCATGATCTAAACGCAAAAGAAAAAAAAAGATCTACCCACTTGCATTTATGTTCAAAACTCATTCTCAGTCCCCCACAACAGCGTGCTTTGCGTCCATTTCACCGTTCCGGCAAGTTGAACGCCAGAATTTAGTGCCGCCGTCCTGCAGGGCTCATTGAATCGGGCTCGGACTGATTCGCTTCGCGAAATAAAGTTACCCGTTCATCATCTGAATGAAACAAAATTAAGAAAAATGTTTTCAAATTTAGAAACCTCTGGCTGCTATTTATTCCATACAATATGTCGCATCAGGGCCGCAAGTCGTTCCATTTTTTTTTTACTTTTACATTCTCCACTCGCAAATACCCACCCACTCCAGCTCCGCGAGTTATCTGATCTCATATCTTTCATTCACCGTTGCGCACCAGCGTACATCCCTGCTCATTCAACCGCACGCTTGCACTTTCTCTCTATCGGCAGCGTTCTGGAAGAAACAACTCTTCCGCGAACTGTCCGGCACCGCGCCAAGGTCCCATCGCGAAAATTACCCGAGATACAGAAAGCGGAGCTCCGATATCAGAATCGCTCTGAATGGCGCTGTTTTCCTTTTGCACCTCACCCATTTTATGTGCTAAGGAGTCTCTTCCTATACTGTTCGCTAATTTTCCTTTCCCTTCCATCCTTTCATGCGCTCTTCGACGCCAACGCCGTTTTCAAACTTGGTCGCGCGGCCACTTACCCAAAAGAGGCGCCTGAACCTTCCCCATCCCTCGGTTCCACCCCCCCCCCCCTTCCTAACAATTCTCTCACCCCCCTCTCTCTCCGTCGCCCTGGTTGGCGTGCACGCTTTGCATAAAAGCGCATGGTGCCATACTTTCTTTCTCTGTTACCATCTATCTGTTTTTTTTTTCTGTTGCTTTTTTTTTCTCGGCACTGGAGTGCGCCTGGCACGCATCAGCCGTGTTCCCAAGTCATTACTCTATAACCGCTGCGCTTTTTTGTTGACGCTGAGGCGGGTGGAGGGGGGGGGGGGGGGGGGCAGCGTGGCCACGGCTGTATCACCCCTCGTTCCTTGTCTTCCTTCACTTATTTCTCTACCTCTTGCTTTAATCTTCTCTCTCTCCCATTTTCCTTTGTTGCGCTCGAATTTTGGCTGCGAAGGCGATTCGGTATAAAAAGCCCTTCCCGTGTTTTCCGGTCAGTGGCCAGACGCGAGTACGTCCCGGCAACACTACGGCTTCGGATCTCGTTTTGGATTTCGTGTTCCCAGTGCTGTGGTACATATTTGGCGCGCATTCAAGACTCGCGATGAGGATTGTGGTGAGTAATGTCGATCTAGGTCATCAACCTGTCCCCCTTCGTCCTCCTCCTGGTTAATCGGCTATATCATTCGCGAATAGAAAAAAAAAGAAGTGATATGATTTGTTGCGCGAACGCATTAACGATTCGTCAAACACCACCGGCTTTCTTTCACCTCTTTATACGTTCATCTATTCTTTCATGCGCCATGACAATACTTATGCGAAGGGCCATCACAGAGATTCCCCAGCGAGGGCAACTACAACATTATAGTCGTGAGTTATTGAAAGTCGAGAAGGATTTGCTCGACAATGACTCTGAGCAAAGCAGGCAGGATGAGCTGACATGTCGGCATTCGTGCGGCTCCCATGTTCACATCTGTTCACAGGTTGCGAAGAAGGGACGCCTACGGGCTCAGGAACGTTGACTAACTCATTCCTACCGGGGTAGTCAGCAAATTCTTCACTTGCGGCATGCTACCCTGTTACGCTAGTTAACATTGTATTCTCTAGTATGTTAACCGTAATTTTAATCTGAACAAAGCTGGGGGTGCCGCAACGATTACTCAACGATAGACCACTTCCATGTGAACGAAGAATGTTTAAAGTTCGTGTTCTGATCGCAGTGCAAATCACTATGTAAACTCAACCCGCAACATCGATAGGTTTGCATTATTGAATTATGTGCAACATTCAGTGCCCGAAAACTTTCGCAGAGGAACATGCACCCGAATCATAGGAAGCGCAGTGGTCGAGCATTGATCGGGAGCAATCAGGTCTTAGTTTTGAGCCTAGACATTTCATTTGAGATTTTTCCCATTTGAGGGAAATAAAATTATATTAATCGATGTCATGGACAAACTGCACATGGCTCGAGTAAGCTATAAACACGACGCTAAAGTAAGGCCTGAGGCAATGTTCAGCTTGAGTTTGCAGGTTATATCACGGCATCGGCGTGTGCATATGGATAAGAACAAAGTGCCTCATGGAGTATCATGTGGCTAGATATAGGGGAATGCAAACGGACGCAATCTGGCCATTTTCAAACTTCAACCTCTCCTTTACACGGCCCACCTCACAATCAAATCAAAGCCTTGCAGTTTAGCTTTTCATGCGTTGTAAAGTCTCAAGTTCGGACAGTGAGAGTATGTTCAGAGTAAGGTTCGAGAAAATATAGTTGTGCCCAAATCCTGACCTCGAAGCTTTTGTATGTGACAGGTGAAAAAGTGATCCTGGTAGAACTGCAGTTGTCAATCGGTGCGAATGTGCGTTTAAGAGCCCACGAAATTTGCCGAGGAAAGCTTCTGCGTTTAATACCAGTTCGCGCAATTATACGCCGTCCCTTGCGTAACTTGGACATTTTTATCACGACAAGACAAAAAAGCCACACAGTGTTAGGCTGAGCTCCATGCGTGCACGCAATACGCGTAAAAAAGTTCGTTTGGTGTTGCTGTCGCCGCTTTCAGGAACATTATCTGTAATATCACATGAACCTGCTGTATGTATTATTCATCTTCTTTATGTTGATGGATAAGTATAGCGCTTCATCAGAGTTATATTTGCTCTCACCCTCTAAACTTTTCGATTCTTTTCTTCGTGATAGTCCGAGTATGAGAAAACAATTCAACTCAGACATGCCTGAATTATCACTTTTTTCATTTACTTGATATCTGATAGTTCCAATGGTCACGCGTAAAAAGTTTCGGGGCAAGGTATACAGCACACTTTTGCAAGTGTATAACCATCCCGTCTTTCAACGTATTCATTATTATCGTATCGCGCCCTGAGCATTTTAAGCAACGCCCTGTTGTGTTCGAATTAGTGAGTCCCAAAGCAACAAAAGTTTAGCAATTTTTTGCGCGTATATAATGCATAGGGTGAAAAAAAAACTAAAAGCGAGACACGGCAAACTCAGTTTCTAAGGTGCAGTGGTCACAGGCACGCACGTTGGACGACCTTTGTGAACTTAGAATTACTTGAATATGACGTTATCTGCGATTTACCCAACGATCGGTGCTCCAGTGTATTCGTAGACACCGAATGCACCACATTCTCCGCTTGATGAGAGAGTTCGCTCGCGCAGAAACACGCACCTAGCCATTTCCATTGAGTACCCCTCCATCCATTATAATAACCTCCTTCTACCCCGACTGAAAGCCATTAAAGAAGCATTCGCGCCACCTGTGAAAGAAAGAGGCATTGAACTGCAACTAATGAAGAGCAGGGTGTAATTAAGGACCCGTGGCGCATGCTTTGTTGACGTGCACAAGGGGTCAATGAAGCAGAAAGTGCAGGGAAACGCTCGCACTGAGTTTGGCATAGCGCAGGTCTTGGAATTGAGGGTTTGGATCGATGCATGAGGCGAAAGGTTGGTCGCTCCATATCAGTGTTTGCTTTCATCGCGACCACCTCGTTGTTTACAATGAACAAACTGTAGCGCACAAACGAAGCATCCTCTCGCTCGGCTCGGCGGCAACCCATTAGCCCCAACTAGCATCGTCGCGTGGCCCCTATATACACAATGGTCAAGAAGGCAGGATCCCGCAAGGGCGGAGGTGTCTTTAGAGAGTCATTTGTGAAGCGTATGCGAGAACACTGTTCTTTAGACGTTGTTACGGTGCTTGTTACAGTATCTATATAGCGAAACCAGGTGGTGAAGCCAGTCTAAGGTTTTCGCTTGTTTAAAATTTAACAGCTTGTAACGAGTATTAACGCAGAAAAATGGTGACAACCCTCAACCTTGAATTGGGTGTCTCTCGTGCGCTACGAGAACACTGTTCGTTAAGACGTTGTTACGGCGCTTATTACGGTATCTAGATAGCGAAACCAGGTGGTGAAGCCGTTCTAGTGCTTTCACTTGTTTAAAATTTAACAGCCTGCATTGAGTATTAACGTAGAAAAATGGTGGCAACCCTCAGCTTTGAATTGGGTGTCTATTGTCCTACACAACCTACGAAGTTCGGAGATGCGTCGCCAACATCACCAAAGCGCAACTGCCGATCGAAGCTTCCTTGCTTAAAGAAATAGTCTTTTTCGCGCACGGCACTTTGCCCCGAAAGAGTGGTCCCCGCCCATCCGGTTCATGACGTCATTCTGGAGGGCGTGCCAATTGGCGCCCACATGCGCCAATAGGCACGCAATGTGCCTATTGTGCCCATGAAATGTGCACCCACATTTCAGGGTAGAGTTCTACAGACTTCTAAAGTTGTATGCTACTTCAGTACTGGCGCTCTCACGTCGGCATATGTGTGACCTTAAGTTATTCCTTGCTTTTGAGCTTCACGCACCATCGAAGCAGATCACGGAGGCCACGTAGAAAGGAGCGACTGCTTGAGATTTGCTCCGCCAGGTTTCACAACAATTCCAGCTGTTCGCAACAATTCAATGAAATCAGAGCTGATTTTCATTGATTATTTTGACACTTGATTGACACTTGTCTAATGTAATGCCATTCTTCGGTTCTAATTAGAGTATTCACTTGAATCACAATGATTTCTATTTCAAATATTTTTATGAATATTGAGGCGACCGGAAGTAAGTGCATGACCAGATATGCGTGGAAGAGAAACGAGAGTGCGATTTGACGGCTCGCACCTTTAGTAGTTAGGCGTGTGGTAGTGGACACAAGAGAAGTTAAACTGAGCGCACCAATGTCGTCATCACAATTTGCGATGAACGAATGCATGTGTGTTATATTTCACTTGTCCTCTGACATCACATCTGGCAAATCTTTGAAATGATTACGCACCAACTAGCTATATTTTGGATCGTTCTCCATGTTAAAGCCAAGTATAATGTCTGAGCTATATGTTGTAGTTCGTTGTCTGTACAGAAGACGTTTAGAAACAATAATAATTAATAGTGTCTTGGCAGCTGGGCAGTACTACTTCATCAACTTAAACTACCGGCATTGGATTGAGACATGTGATGCTGTTGTTAATAGCGAAAAATATGTTTCTACAGATCGTGACAGCTGTTATTGCCGTTCTGGCGACCGTGGTGTCGGCCGGATATCTCGGTGGATACGGAGGCTATGGTGGTGGCTATGGATTGGGCCACGGTGGTGGCTACGGCGGTGGCTACGGATTGGGACATGGAGGTGGCTTTTCTTCGGCCATTACGCACCAATTTGACAACCAAAAGGCGGCGCCGCACTACGGCGGTGGCTATGGCGGTGGCTACGGCGGTGGCTACGGCGGCGGATACGGTGGCTACGGTGGAGGCTATGGCGGCGGCTACGGAGGAGGCCTGGGACATGGTGGATACGGCGTGGTCATCGGCCTCGGCCATGGAGGATACGGTGGACATGGCTACGGGGGAGGACTCGGCTACGGTGGTCTGGGCTTCGGACACGGCTACGGATTGAAGGGATGAACGACGGATTTTGACTCGTAGGTGAGCACAACGCTCGCTCACTAGCTCGCTCATTCACTCACTCACTCATTCACTCACTCGCTCGCATAATCGATCATTCACTAACTAAACAACAAACTAAATACCAACACCTCTCATTCACTTGTTTCTTCCTACTCACTCAATTTCTCACCCATTCAATGCCGGACACTACATCCTTAATCGAAAGGGACTTTAAAAGTGTATTATAAACCATTAGAAATTTTCACTTCGATGAATTGACTTGAACGTAAGGTCATTTCTTGTTGAGTACTGTTAAGCTAGGCTTCTTTCTGCAAGCTTTGAGGCGTCATTGTCAGGATACAGAGTATACGTCAATAAGAAACACAAAAATCAGCAATTTTATGACCCACATCAATCAGTCATAATGCGCAGAAAAGCATCCGAAAACTGATACAGTGTTTATAAAATATTATTCAACACATCAATGTACCAAGAATGCTAAGGGAAGAGACATTTTGCAAAAAAGCATATTTTGTGCCCACAGAGAGAGAGAGAGAGAGAGAGATAAATAGAGAGGAAAGGCAGGGAGGTTAACCAAGCTTGGCTCGGTTGGCTACCCTACACTTGGGGTGGGGGAAAAGGGGAATAATAGAACGAAAAGAGACAGAAAAGAAGAGGAGTAAGAAAGAGAAGCATAAATAGTCAGCTCGAAACTACACAGCACGGCCTCGCACAGTTCTTTCACAAGCGGTCGTGAAGTTTGGTGTTCCTTAAAAAGTACAAGAGGGCTTTCGTGGCTTTGCGCGTATGGGAAGCCGTCGGCCAAGGTCCCAGGATCTTCTCTTCTGTAAGCGGCCGTGAATCCAGCTGACAGAGCTTGGCTTCCATAATACGTCGTTCGGTCTGGTATGCTGGGCAATGACATAGAATGTGCTCAAGCGTTTCCTCGCAGGCGCAGATGTTGCATGCCGAAGTGCTCGCCATTCCAAGGAGACGAGAGTACGAATTCGTAAATGCCACGCCCAACCTCATGCGACACAGTAAAGTTTCAGCGCATCGTGGGAACCCGGATGGCAAACGAAGTTGCAAGCTTGGGTCGATCGAATACAGGTGCGTGTTGGAGAAACCCTGCGTATTCCATTGTAGGAGAGATATACGGCGAGCAAGTGATTGTAGTAGCCTTGCAGCGTCCGTTCTCAAGAGTGGTATGGGCGTGCGCTGGTCTTGGTCACGAGCCGATCGAGCAGCTTCATCTGCGCAGTCATTGCCAACGATTCCGCAATGACTCGGCAACCACTGAAATACAATATCGTGACCTTCCGCGAGCGCTTCGTGGTAGTCGTGCCTTATCTGATATGCTGATTGTTCATGTAGCCCGTGTTGCAGAACAAACCGTAGTGACTGTAAGGCTGACCTGGAGTCGCAAAAGATGGCCCATTGGTTAGGTTCCTGGTGAAGAATGTACTTTACTGCACCTTGAAGTGCTGCGAGCTCTGCTGCTGTCGACGTCGTGGTGTGAGAAAACTTGTACTGAAGCAACACATTTTCAGATGGAACAACCACTGCTCCTGTGGAGCTGTTGGAATTAGTGGAGCCATCGGTGTAAACATGTATGCGGTCGAAGTACCTTTCGTCCAACAGACGCAAAGTCAGTTGCTTCAGGGCTAGCGTTGACATGCGTGCCTTCTTAAAGATTCCAGGAACTGATAAGCGCACGTCAGGTTGACGAAGACTCCATGGTGCAGTTGCTGGATGCATGCAAGTTTGAAGCCAGGCGGTAGTATGTCCTGATGTTTTTGTCACGATAACGCAGTACGAAGAATGGGGCCTCCGAGCTGTCAAACACGCTAAATTGATGTGACGGTAGCCGTGATAAATGCCGAATGTGCGCTCTCAGCGTCTCGACAATGATGTGCGTTGTGACCGGTTGTTCTTGTGCAATAACAATAGTTGACACTGTCGATGAGCATCTTGGAAGGCCAAGGCATGTCCGAAGTGCTTGGGCTTGTACGCTTTGCAGTGCACGGATGTTAGTCTTGCACGTGTTGGACAGGACTGGAAGGCTGTACCGGAGAGTTCCGAGAAAGAGGGCTGTATAAAGCTGCAACATGGAGTGCACGGATGGGCCCCATGATTTTCCGGCGACGAACTTGAATACATTCTCAATGCCAATGAGCTTTTTCTTCAGGTTTGTGACATGCGGGCTCCAGGTTAGGTCACGATCTACGATGACGCCTAAGAATCTATGAGTGCTCTTATATGGGATTGATCTGCCATCGATGCACAATGAGTAGAAAGACATCGGTTTGCGTGTAAGCGCCACCGCTGCGCATTTTTCTGTGGCGATAGTCAAACCTTGCTGGCGAAGGTATGTCGATGTCATTGTTGCCGCTTTCTGTATTCTTGCGCGCACTTGAGGTCGTGTCACGCCGGACGCCCAAATGCAGATATCGTCAGCGTAGAGAGATACATAAGCCGTCTGTGGCAGCATTTCAGTGAGCCCCACGAGAACCAGGTTGAAAAGTGTAGGACTCAAAACACGCCTTGTGGCACCCCACGACTTGTGAAATACTTATTCGTAGACCCATCTTCAGTTAAAATGAACATAGATCTCTTTGTGAGGTAGCTTCTTACCCATCGAAAGACACGACCTCCAAGTTCAGCTGCTTCAAGAGCATTGAGAACAGCCTCGTGGGTCACGTTGTCATAGGCACCCTTCACGTCTAAGAACAGAGCTACCGACAGCCGCTTCTGAGCTTTCTGATACTGAATAGAGGTCACTAAGTCAATAACGCTATCAACTGAGGACCGACCTCGTCGAAAACCAGCCATAGCATCAGGATAGATGTTATAATGTTCCAAGTACCATTCCATGCGTGTAAGCAGCATCCTCTCCATGACCTTGCCAACGCAGCTTGCTAGTGCTTTAGGCCGGTATGATGCCAAATCGAATGGAGACTTTCCGGGCTTCAGCAAAGGCACCAGGCGACTACACTTCCACTCATCAGGCACCATTCCATCATGCCAAGACTTATTGAAAATGTCCAGGAGACAGCACTGTGCCTTCGGGCCTAGGTGACGTAGGGCAGTATAGGTCACTCCATCCGGACCTGGGGACGATGAGCATCTGCATGTGTTCAATGCCGCATGAAGTTCTTCCATGGTGAACGCAACTTCCATTTGCTGATCTCGTGCGACTGGAACATCCTGTGGCATTAGATCGATCGGTATAGAGATGTCGCCGGCGATCTTTGCACAAAATTCCCCAGAAACATCAAGCTGTGAGCGACGTTGATGTAGCGCCAGAGCGGCGAAGGGGTGACGTTGTTGCGGATGCGAGTGAATACCTCGAAGAGTCCTCCATACGGGAGACAAGGGCTTTCGAGGGTCTAGCGAGTCACAAAAATTCTTCCACCGTTGTTCATGAAGTTTGCGCATTCGACGCAGGATTTTTTTCTGAATGCGTCTGGATTATCTGAGGTCAGAGATAGATTTCGTGCGTCTGTATCGTCTTTCGGCACGTCGGCGGACCGCTCTAAGTTGTTCCAACTCTTGGTCGAGTGCCGTGCGTCTCGATTCTTTCGAACATATCTTCGTGGAAGTCTCCATTGCACAACTAATCACTTCTTCAATGGATTCCGGTGGTCCGTGCATGCACTTGCTCTCCACTGATATCTGAAACTCTTCCCAGTCAATAAGTCTTGAATGTCCAGGGGAAGGAGAATCGTCCAAACCTCTGACTGTCACGTACGTGGGGATATGGTCGCTGCCACGTGTTTCAATATCTGTGAGCCATTGGACTTTCGTGACAATGCTATTCGACACTAATGTCAAGTCCAGGCAACTGCTGTAAGTTACTCCTCGGAGATAAGTAGGGCTGCCGTCGTTCAGCACCTGAAGCCCGTGCTCTGATGCGAGATCAACTAGGTCCGTGCCTTTTCGATTTGTCCTGATGCTTCCCCACAATGGATGATGGGCGTTGAAGTCACCCATCAATATCCAAGGCGCTGGAGTCGTTGCAAATATACCATTCAAGATTTGTTGATCTAGTCGACCTGACGGCGCTATATATGCGCCTATCAGTGTAAACGACAACTTCTTTTTAATATATAGACACACGTAGTGATTTCCATTGTGAGAATCTACTCTTTGGAGAACGTAAGTGAGTTCTTTACGGATGTACACAGCAACTTGACTTCGCTCAATGCACGTTGAAGAAACGAACGATTCATAGCCCGACAGACGAGGTATTTTTGAAAAATGCGGTTCACAAATGATGATGATGGGAAACTTATTTTCGAAAATGAATTGTCGGAACTCAGGCATTCTTGACTGTAGACCTCTTGCGTTCCACTGAATTATGGAAGCACGCTTGACTTTTTCTCGGAAAGGCTGATGCGGTCTATGGTGCGCCATCTTGTTACTGAAGTCCGGCAAGAACTGGTTCTAGTGTGTCCAAGATTTGCAGCGCGCATTTAGCGGCAGGGATCTGTAGACTATTCAATAGAGTGCGAATAACACTCATGAACGACCTCAGTACAGAAAAGACTTGTACCTCTTGGGCGGACAGACTGCCTGCTGGGGGCATATTCGTTGTTGACTGTCAATATTGCGGTTCCGTAGACACGTGTACCCGCGGTAAAGTGGGCCAGTCAGAGCCGGATGTTCTCTGTAGCGCCACAGTGTCTTCCGGTACCTCTGGACGTACCCCACCTGGTGGCGGGGGCGGGGGAGGTCTCTGTGGTCGTGGCGGCGGTGGTGGTGGCGGTGGCGGCGTTAGTGAAGGCACCTTCGGCACAGGACTGCTTTTTCTTTTCTTCGAGCACCGCCGTCGACGGGAACGCCGTCGTTGAACAACCGTTACCGCTTCCTTTCGTGAGGATCCGTCTTTAACCATTTGTTTCAGAATGCTCCTCTCTTTCTTCAGTACTGGGCAGTCTTTGGACGAGGTCTCATGGTTGCCGTTGCAGTTGCTGCATTTTAGGAGAGTTGCTTGGCAAGCCTCTGCTTTGAGGGGTCCGGCACAACGTGGGCATGCTTGCTTGTTGTTGCACACAGCACTAACATGACCCAGTTTTAGACAGTTGTGGCACTGTAGTGGTCTTGGGATGTATGGTCGGACAACGTGACGAAAATGACCAACCTTTACATGTGATGGGATGCAATCACCTTTGAAGGTCACCTTGATGCAACGGGATTTGCCAAGCCGGCATACTTGCAATATGTCCGTTGCCCCAGTAGCTGGCTTTATCAGAACAGGAAGGTCTGCGTTCGGTATGGAAACATCAACGTCATAAATGACGCCTGTCGTCGTGTCACTATCCTGCGGAATGTAAGTTCTGAGATAGATGCCTCCAAGCTCAGTGACAGTTCGCAGGGTATGTAGCGCAGCCGGGTGCTCAACGTCTATGGCCAGGATATTCTTCCGTGGGTTGAGTCTAATATCCTTTATCTCCTTAGGCACGATAGTTTCGAGACGCGCTGATATCACTTGCCTGTTCATGTTCTTCAGGTTGATCGAAGAGTCGACAGGAACAAAAAGTATGGTATGGCGTTCAGAACTGCACGCCGCCTTCACGGTAGAGACGCTAGCTGGCGAAGACGCACCGACCATTCTTCTTTTAGCTTTACGCTTCACTGCAGGGATGAAATCTTCGTCGCTGTCTTCACTACTCGCCGTGTACAGTTCAGTGCTGTCACTGGTGCTGTCGTCCTCCCGGCTGTTGTGCTTCCTTGAGGTTGACGTCGAAGGTGACGCCAAGTCCGGATTGCGTACGGTGGGGCCTGGATTCATCGCTGCCCGCAGGAGAGCCCATTTTGTGCCTAAATTTTTTAACAAGTATGAACCCTCTCGTCTACCACTTCATATTGGATCCCTTGTTCTTGGTGTCACTCAATTTGAAACATCTGGTTCACTGTTGCTGCCCTCACTCTCACCCTCAGGGTAGCAGCCATTGCAAGCACCATTGCCGATTAATTCGGGATCATCAGAATGTAAAAGATTTCTTGCATGAGTTCCAGCATTTCTTCTTCCGACAGGCACTGCCCTGCCAGTGACGGTGCGGTTTTGAAAGCCACGGGTCCAAATAGAGGATATTCAAATCAAGTAGCCATTAACCACAATTAAGAACATATACTGCATAAAAATGGAGGGCAACTTAATTTGCAGACCCTTCAGTAGTGCTATCACACTTACTGGGCCAAAGAAACCAGGATAACCTAAAACGAAAAATTGTAATCACTCGCCGCTACCGCAAAGAAGTTGACAGTTTGCTGTGATACGCAATGTTCAAACTCACCTTCCGCCAGAGATACGCATCGTGCAGTGCAATCTAGTTGAGCTTTAGCGAAGCAACGCTCTTCACGCGATGAATTCGAGTTGAGGGTGAAAGACTATTTATTTCGTAATTCGCTGCAGTTGCTGGAACAAACGGTCTCAAAGTGGGGGTCACTGGGAGATTGAAGAGGATAATATTGAAGAGGGCGGGAAAAAGAATTTAGGGTGAGGAGGAGGGACGGGAGGATAATGGGGAGGGAAAGAAGCAGGTGACAGACTAAATCATCGTATACAGAAAGAGATAGAGAGAACAAGAGAGAAAGAAAGCGCAGAAATATAGACAGAGAAAGGGAGATAGGAAAATGATTGATAGACAACCAGATTGAGAAAGAGAGGGACATTTAAGTAAATGGGCAGCCAGGATTAGACGGAGCGCGAAAAATAGAAAGGCAAGAAAAGGCAGGAATAATAGAAATGGTGAGAAAGAAAAAGAAATAAGGAGAAGTAAACAGTGACGAAAAAGATTAGAGCCAGCCATGCCGTCTATATTACATTATAGTATAATATAGTATAGCATTGTATTGTAATAGCCAGGCGTAGGAAAGAGCACAGTTAGAGGGTAAAAACCTAGCCGAGCCGGCAGCAGCTAGCTATGTATACCTAACTGGCTGTGTTGTGGCCCAGCCTTTCACGACTTAGTTCTAGGTGCGCTAATTTTTTCGTACCTGTGATCACGTGACACTTGGTAAGCGACCTCTAGGGAAGTCCGTTGTCTTACATCACATTATTTGTTCAATGGTCTCTCCTGCGTGTATTTCAAGTGCGAAGCAAGAAAAGAAAAGTGCCTCTCCTTCAACGCACTTTGGCATGCTGATGACTTGCTGCGGCATATTTTTGTTCGACAAGACGTAGGCAGTGAAGAACAAAATAACGACGAGTGTTGTTTTTTTAACCTTTATTCTTTGTTTGGTACATAGCCTAAAATTGCTTTTGTTAGCTTGTTGGCTCCATATAAGGCTCATCCATCGGAGAATAAAGCATCAGTTGCAGTTGAGCGCTTGTCTTGCGTGTGCTTCTGTCGTGTACGTGTGTAGGTGTGCTAAAGCAATATCATTTTATGATGCACAAACGCGCCCAGTGACCAGTAGTATGTGCACTGACGCCTTTTATGATGCATTACGAACTAGAACACTAAGCCATCCTCGTGACCTTTATATCGGTGTTTGTGCAGAAATCTTCAGTATGCCCTTTGACATTTACATGCCCTGCGAAAAAAAAAAAAACCTTTGTCATTGTGAAATGAACAGCATTCGCATCATCTGCACTTAAAACTTTTTATGAATCCATTAGATTTGTTTCGGTTGCTTCAATGCTTGATTTTTTTTTTGCTGTCGTCTTTGCAGAAAGAAAACTCGGGGCCAACGCACGTTCTGCACTGCTACTTCTGTAAATTATTGCCTACTCCTTTCAAATGATCTGTCACTTCCCATCACAAGTCATGTGTTGTGCGTCATTCGATTGTACAAAAGTCCTAAAATAAAAGTACACGTGGAAACATTTTTTGCGCCGTTGTGCTCATATGTGTCCTGTTGTCCACATTACGGGATGAAATATTGTTGAAAGAAGAATGTCGCCGGATCCAATGTTTAAACAAGGAGACAAGTCATCCAAAGCGCAAAGCAGCAATTGTCCATTCCAGAATTCCCCGCCGCTTCAACACAATGTGGTTCTCCAAACGTTTGTCTTGCTTAGGTTCTCTTCGTGAAATTTCACGAGTATTGCTCAGTTTAGGTTGTAACGATGGCACCTAACACCTTTGTCACAAGAAAACACTTGAATGACCTTCAAGTCAATGGCCACCTCAACGCCAGAGCTCTATCAACTCCGTGTGGTTGTCGCGCTGGTACGCGGCAGTTCTGGCCGATAATTGAGTGGTTCAGGTGTTTCTCGCAAAAAAATATTCGATAAAAAGTAAGAAATAGTAAGGTGCTCTGGAAGTTAATTTCAGTTACCATTACACCGAAAGATAATTAATATAGATTCACTACTAAGCAGACACGAGTGTCTCTATTTGGATATTTCACTACATTTTCATAGGCAGTTGTGAGTTTTCAATCTGTTTAGCAGTGGTAGTGTGGCGAACATGCAAGATGTAGACAAGCACGTCACTGTTGGGGATACTATCAGAAGTTCGCACAATTGAAGTAGCAAAAAATACCTTATTAAACATTCATGAAGCTGAAATACACGGCTTTAAAGCGTATTGGAGACACTTTTTTTTGTAATTATGAGGGCTAAGGCTGAAATTTCTTTGAAATTGTGAATGATAAAGGTGAAAGTTAAAGGCGTGCTGTATAAAATACTGCGCGTCCCAGAGATGATCAGTTTATCAACGGCCGATGCTTTGTTCGCCACTACCTTTGTACATTGTGTTTTGATGCAGATCGAGTTTCGTTTTTTCCCGCAACAAGTTCGGCTGAACGAACAATCTCATTTCGGACACGTGATCTCTCCCTTCGTCAAGGTCATGACCACGTGACAATACACGCTTCCGGGAGTCACTATTTAAGGCACATATAATTCTAATAGCGCAGTAGCACAGTGGGGTTCAAACGGGCATTCGGCAGCCAGTTGGCGAAAGTGAAAATGGTGAATGACGGGAAATCCGTAGCACACCATAATATGTAGCAGGAACTCTAGAAATACCTCACCTGAGTACAAGACAATTAAGCTTGACGTGCTACAAACATACAGCTACACCTTCTAGTCAAAGCGTCTTGGAGAACAAGTAAATGTAGGAAGCAGCACACCAGCAGCCACTGTGAACCTCCCCTGCAGCCGCTACCACCTCGTGTTCATGTTATGATTACCATCATGCTCGTGTTCGACTGCCTTTTTTGGAAAGTTCTAACCATAGTTTCATACAATATTACCTAGAGTGAAATCTGACACTAGTATCTACGTGGGCTCCTTCAGCGGTGCTTGTACCCACATGGGAATGATGGGAAGTGCAGGCTTTGGACCTGCTTCAGATGAATCACGTTCTTGAGATTCACGACGCTTGTTTGCTGAATGTAAAACAAAGTGGTATGAAGCTATGTTTGATAGAAACTTGCTTCATTTTTTGTATACAAACTTTATTTTCAAAACGTTTTTTTGTGACTAGGTGGTAGAAGTGAAACATCGACAAATTTAATCACCAGGTTATGCTTTTTTTTTCTCTGCGTTCCAGATTTGGCATCAAGATTCAATAAATTATTCTTTACAATATTTCAAAACAAACATTCCTGTTTTGCCCTCGAAAGTACCCAATATCTATTTATTGAAATAACAGCACATTATTAAGTGAGAAACACTTAACGTTTTGTTTGCTGCGATGCCAGGTGCGTCTTTTCAAGTGGTCTGCCCCCAATGCACCTCTCGTTTGGTTGTGAAGTCGAGTCAGAAGAGCGTGGCGGTGCGTCTACTTCACGTCGCCGTCGTTTTGCAGTTGATTTCAACGAGTTTTGGCAAGAAGCACTTACAATAAACGCCAACTCAATGTAATATCTTGCACTGACATGGTATGCTACAACTACGCGCAGTGGTGAGTGGACGACGCTTCCCTTAAACGGTCAAACACGACATATACAGCTCCAGCGTTGCAGTAAATTGAGAGGTCTAGCAGTTTTGAGCTTCATTGAACAACAAAGGCGTAACTTCAGTCCTTCGCACCCACCTCACTACCACTCTACGCGAAGAACGAAACTGAAATTCCAGAAAAAGATCTGTAGGCAGTTCACTGGCTAACGCGATCCAATCCGAAGCCTGTACTTCCCATAGTTCTCATGAGGGTACACAATCGCAGCGCGAGATTCCTCTCTAGGTATTATTGTATGAAACTCTATGGTTCTAAGAAAGCAAATTATGTTAACATGTCCGCTTAGCCCACATAAGCCAACTCCCTTCGATGCCGCCCTCTCCTCGCAAGTCATGCTCCTGTCACTATTCGTGGCACGCTGCTCTTTAAATTTTTATGACTGGGCTTTCCGAATTGCCGCAGGACAACCTATTTTTGTTTCTTTTTTCTTCCATGCTAAGTAGCCCCCTCCATGCTAAGTGATCGCCAAAGATTGCTAATGATCTTTGGCGACCACTTGCGATGGTTTCGCTTTAGGGAATGCTTAATTCGGTCAAAGCTTAAAATTTTCCATTTTTAGCACGTATATACGTCAATACATATTAATATGTCCTATAGAGTGGTTTTTCCGACTCATAAAAAATCATATAACTACAACGAACCTTTCGCTTCGTCGTTTCTCACTCGAGAATTCCAGATGTTCAGAACATGGCCGCCGCCACAGCATGCACTGGCACGTTCGGCTTCTCCTCACTAGAGTCACAGTTGTCTGTGCTCTTTTTCCGAAGGGGTTTTAGGGCTGGTGGCGCCGCTTCTCGGTTTTTACAGAAACTCGCGCGCGTTTGTGTGGTGCGGCGGCGGTCGGTGGTTGGCTGACTGGGCCGGGAGAATCTCGCGCCTTGCAAAGTGGTCGCTCGCCGCCGTTGTCATCGCTCGCGTGCGCGTCTTGTCTCCAATCGGAAATCCTGCGTTGCAGCCGCCGCCCGAGAAAGGAGCGGCGGGTGCGAAAACATTTGCACGCGAACTGGGAACATGCCGCACCGTTGAAAGGGAGCAGTGCGAAACAACTTGGGAACAAATTCGGCGATGTTGCGGCGTGGTGTCCGCCGGCAGCGGCTGCTCGCGGGGATTCCTCGCTTCGACTGGTCGCTTGGTGTCGTGTTGAGAAGCCGTCGCGCGGCCGTCACCGCGACTCTGCCTCGATGCTGCTTTCCGATGCTCTCGCATTTCGAGCGCTCGTGTTCACCGATCGACGTCCGCTTGACGACGGAGGAGAGCGGCGTTCCTTGAAAAGTGCGCCGACGAGTGTGAAGTTTTGTTTTTGTTGCGTGCAACGTGCCTGGCTGTGTTCGTTCGTTATTTTTTTTTTTGTGGTCGTGTGTGCTCTCGCGTGTGACGTCGATTACTGCTACCTGTCATGCCGGGTGTGGTGGTGTTCAAGCGACGCTGGTCTGTCGGCTCGGACGACTTCGTGGTGCCTGGGATATTCCTCTTACTGCTGCACACTATATGGTGAGTTTTATATCAATCGCTTTACGCGCACATAGCTTCAAGGTACGCCTGTTTGCTTACCTGTTCACCTTGCACCGAATGCAATAGACACTCGAAACAGCAGAATTTCAGGTTCTCAATGGTCGATTTTCAGTCACACGACTGGACATGCGAGCTTTAGCCTGAGTTGACCGGCGTACGGGTGCACTTAATTAAATCCTCAGGGTCGAAGGCGATCAGGTTCCCGTTTTTACGTCTACTAGCAGACAAGTTTCCTCGCGAATCGCTTGCATTCTAATTCGCCCGGTCCATTTAGGAAACTTGGCAAGGCAGCTGAGAGTGAGATAGTGGACGGTAGGATGGCTTCACTGTAATGCGCTCGCAATGAGAGGAGCAGCGTGGATTTCAACGCCGCGATCCCGCTATCTCCGGCAGTTCCTTTCGGATGAAGCGGCTTACCCGCGTTGCCATGGTAGCAGCCACTTAGGCCCGCTTCGGAACCGGCGTCGACATTTTAATTTTTCTTTAACATCCTTCCTTGAACTTGGATGTCCGCAAAGGCCTTTCACTGAACGGCGGTCCTCTCATTCGCGGATGCGACTCTGGCGAATTGAAGCGGCCCAAATTGTCACCTGACAATACGTGAGCCGTCGATTAAAAGAGTTCGCTGTGGTGAATGGCTGAATGGACTAGGTTCTCTAATCTAATAGGATGAATTGCAATTAAATCTTTCAACTTGACACGCGCGTAAGTAACATAACCTTTTTTTCACGTGGAATGGCATTATCACTTTTTTTTTTTCCGTGTCACTGAAAGTAAAATTGAAACGTTCGTAACTGTTGTCACATCTGAGCTACCCTGTATCATGCATAAGTTTGCCTTGAAGAGTTACCTTAGCGAGTTACGTTATCGCTCCCTGCATCGCAGCCCCAAAACCGATAATGAGTGTGTACAAACGTCAATGCAGGAAATATCAAAATATTCGGCAACTGTTTGTGCCCGGAATCGATAATAACTGCGCGCTGATGCGGTTCGAAAAATTGTGTCTGAAAATGGACAAGGGCGAGGGCTCGCGGCTTCGCAAATTGTTCGAATACGGTCGGTAACAGGACCGCCGATTCCCTGATTGATTGATTTGTGGGGTTTAACGTCCCAAAACCACGATATGATTATGAGAGACGCCGTAGTGGAGGGCTCCGGAAATTTTGACCACCTGGGGTTCTTTAACGTGCACCCAAATCTGAGCACACGGGCCTACAACATTTCCGCCTCCAACGGAAATGCAGCCGCCGCAGCCGGGATTCGAACCCGCGCCCTGCGGGTCAGCAGCCGAGTACCTTAGCCACTAGACCACCGCGGCGGGGCCCGATTCCCTTCCGCAGCAGTAGAACACGCAACCGCATTGCTATGTAGTAGGTGTTGATTCATTGCTGTAGAATGAAAACGACG